AGCTGTAGGTCTTGGAGATGGCATCAAAGGTGGCCTTGGAGCATCTTCCCAGAGTGGCAGTGCAGCCCCAGTTGGGAGTGTAGCTTTCCTTGGGAGCAGCCATCAGCAGCAGCATCTTGGCACAAGAGCTGAAACCATGCCAGTGCCTCTGGGGACATAGAACCTCAGCCCACTGTCACCTTGCATGGAACCATGTGGGGCTTGTCAAAATTGTTCCCTAGTAGCCTTTCTGCACAGAGATGATGCAGAGCTTGACCAAGATGGCCCCTCAGATGGAGGTGGCTACCTCCTTGGAGCAGCTAACACCAGACTGACCTGACTGCTGTAGTCCCCAGTGGCAACGAAAGCCTTGAACCTGGTCCCCGGGGTCAGCACCAGATGTGCTTCTGCTCTGGCGTGATTCAAAGCCTCATCCTTGAGGCATGTCTCCAGGAAAAGGTCAATAACCTCAGAGTCCTAAGTGGACAGGGAGAAAAGAGCTCTCCAGGGACTGGAACATCATGCTTGGTTTGTGACAGGGATCCACTCCTTGTCTTTGGCCTCCCTCCTCAAGCCCTGCAGCCTGGGCCTGGTTCCCATCACAGCCTCTGCAGAAGCCACCTACATGCACCCCTGGACCCTCCTGTCACTCCAGTCTCACCACTGTGTGGTGTTTTCTCGGAGAGCAAGCAGTCGCTATTATTAGCTCCATTTTAGAGGTGTGGAAGTTGAGGCTCAGGGAAATTAACCAGTCAGGAAAGAGCCAAGTTGAAGCTTAAACTTGGGAGGGGGCAGCCTGACCCGGAAGATGAGGGTTTTTTGAACACCTCACCGCTCGTTGCCCTCTGAGCATTTTGGCCCCCACTCCCCATTTTAGTTCTTATTCCTTTGCTTGCGTTTTCACTCCTGCAGGGACCTCCGGGCCAACAGGCGGTCCTCTGCTCTCAAAATCACAGCAGACGCGCTGCCCAAAGACCTGCTCTGGTATTTGAGGACGACCTGACTGAACTGGGGCACACGTAGGGGTGACACACATGGCAAGGGAAAAGCCAGACTAGACGGATCAGCGGGCCCAGCCCGCCAAGCCGGGAGAACGCAACTGGACCCGCAGGAGCGGCACAGCGCCCCCTGCTGGAAACCGGCTGCCGAGCGGAGCTGCCTGGCCTCCCGCCGCTGGCTGCAGGCGGTGCCAGCCTGCAGAGTCAGTGCAACTGGCATGGCTGGTGACCCTACCTTCCCTACCTGGGGAGACCACGGAAGTCTCCCGCGATGCCAGCCGGTGGCATAGTCCACCGTGCAGGCCCTCACTTGGCTGACAGCTTCCTTTGCAGAGGAATTACCCGGACCTCCTCTGGGCAGCATGCCAGGCATCCGCAACTCCCCAAAACTGGTCATTTGGGAGCATTACGGCTGCCTTGGTTGGTAGGTGTGTCAGGACTCTGGGCATCTGAGCTGGTTTGGAGGTGGCCTCAAGCAGAGCCATCATGCAGATTTAGGATCAGCACGGATATGCCAGATGCATCAACTTAACTTGGAATCCACTGAGGTGCTGCGTTGGAAGCAGTGGGGCACAGGGAGGCGGATGTGGAAGGGAAGCGGTGCCCAGTGAACACCCACAACACCTTGTGCTTATAGGTAGGCCAGGTGGAAAGCAGCTGCAGACACTTGTGGTAAGAACATGGGGCAGGAGGTGTTTTAACAGGTCCTGGGAAGCTGTGGGGTGTATCTCAGGGATAGCGTTCTTGCTTGTCCAGTGTCCCAGCATTGATAAAAAAAAAAAAAAGCTCCTCAGGGATGCACAAGTTCTCCTGTGGTCTGCCCTTGGCCTTCATGCTTCCTGCCTGAGTTGCCAGGACTGGGCTCTCCTCCCATAGCAAGCGGCCTAAGCCCCTGGCAAACAGCAGCGGCTCCCCACTTCCTATAGGTTCAATGCCAATTACCTCACCCTTCACTTCCTCGATGCCCTCACACACCCAGCACTTCCCCCAAACCTATCTTCAGAGTCTCCCCAAGTAGGGTGGGGGCAAACATGGATGCCTGGGCCCTGCCTGGCTTCAAAGTTCTGATACTTAAGGAGGAGCAAGGCAGCAAGGCTCCACTCCAGGGGTCTGAGAGAGAAAACCTGATTGGCTCCTTGGGTCAGGTGATTTCCCCTGTGCACTCACCAGAGGCCAGCAAGGGCTAGGTCACATGGTGTATGCAGGGACATACTGAAAACAATGGAGACAATTCCTCCAAGAAAGGGCAGGGCAGGGAAGAAATGGACCCACCTGGTACAGCCAAATACAGGGAAAGCAGGTGCTGACAGACTACAGATTGAGCAAAGGGCCCTAGCTAGGCCCTTCTCTTTTTTTTTTTTTTTGCAGTACTGGGGCTTGAACTCAGGGCCTACACCTTGAGCCACTCCATCAGCCCATTTTTTTGTGTTGCGTTTTTTTCAAGATAGAGTCTTGTGAACTCTTTGCCAGGGCTGGCTTCAAACCGCTATCTTCCTGATCGCTGCCTCCTGAGTAGCTAGGATTACAGGCATGAGCCACCAGCATCAGGTACTCCTGCTATTCTCTTTTCCAAGATCCTGGAAGGGAACTACCTGCAGCTTTCCAGAATCCTGCCTTTTTCTCACTTGATCACAGAGTGGCCAGAAGACTGGAGTTCTTTCTAATGCAGATCTGCCACCCATCAGTTAAGTGAATTTGGATGAGTAATGCTGGACTTCTAAGTGTCCATGTCTGCAAAGTGGAGGTGATAGTGATAGCCGTGTGCAGCTGGATCGGCATGCCCTGAGCCATCAGAACTGAGTCTACTACACTGCACCTGTGTAGTTGACGCCCTCATCAGAAGTCAGGATGGTATATCCATGTGTAATAGTGTCTTTTTTTCTTTTACAGTGGTACATAAATAGGTGAATCTTATAAGCAATGGCATCTTAGATGTGATGGACTATGGAGTGATTACCATTGTTCTGATCAGAGACAAACCAATGTCTTGGGTAGAAAGGTCCCCACGTGCAAAGTGGGGACAACATCTCTCCCTCAGCGAGGCTAAAACGAGACAGAATCTGCCAGTGGCTTTGAGCAACACGGGCCCTTACCTCCCTCCTTGCTGGGAGGCTTCCTTGGTGGCAGAGGTGAGCTTTGGGTAAATGGAATTGTCAGCACCACTTGTTTGTTTATCTGGGGAGCAGGAGGCTCATCACTAGGTCAAACAAACATTTGTGGTTATGGATTAACCCGAGTTCCAGGCTGTCATGGCGGCAGGAGGGCGAACTCGCAGTTTCTCCACGGCCCACCCCTGTAAGTCCCCCTCGAGGCAGGACTGGGAGGGGTGCGGAGGGAGGGGTGCAGAAGGGAGAGGAGTGCTGAGCCACAATGAAGGGTTCTCCTGGCTGGCTAGAGCATGGTGTCAAGGGAAATGAGGCCCTGCCACCGGCCAGGCCAAGGCATGGTTGGCATTCCCCAGGTGCCACAGTCCAAGGGTCCTCTCACTGTGTGCCTCCCTCTTTCCAGACTGTGGACCAAGTAGAATTTAGTCAAGGGGTTCTCCAGAACCCAGAGCCATCCCCAAAAGCAACTTGGAACCCAGGACTGCCTGTATGCTCACCTCTAAAAGTGAGGCATCTGATTTAAACATTGGATTAAATGTCAGCGCAACCTTGAGGAAGTCAGCAAAGGAGAAGGGTGAGGCTAGGCAGGGCTGTGTAGCTGGAGCAGGCAGGCCTGCCCTTCCGGTCTTGGGGACAGTGGAGGGCTCCTTAGTCTCCAGAGGTAGGGTGACCTCTGTGGCATTGAAGGACAGGGAATCCAGTGATTAAGGGCAGGGTAAAGCTTCCGGGCCTGGAGCCCCACAGGCCTGGGCCTGAGTCCTAGTGCTGCCCCCTCCAGTTGTGGATTTTTTTTAAAAACAGATCCAAACTAGTCTCAAACTCTTGATCCTCCTGCCTCAGCCTCCCAAGTACTGAGTTTACAAGCATTCACTACCATGAAAGGTCTAGTTGTGGATTTTTAATAAGCCACTTACCTGCTCCAAGTCATGAAATGTGAGTGATAATATTAGTCCCACGTCTTGGGTGGGTATAGAAATAGCAAGTGTTTACCGAGCATTTGCTGTGTGCTACAGGTTGAACCCAGGGCCTTGCACATGCTAACCACACACTGTAGCACTGAGCTGCGCTCCACTCCTCTAAACTTGTTTTAAAAGCTTCATGTGGACTACTAGTTCTTTCAATAATCCTTTAAAGGCATAAACCTGTGCATTTTATAAAGGAGCAGAGGAGTGGAGCAGTTAAGAATTTTGCTCCCCACTGCATCCAGAATGTGCTGGAATTTTCCCCAGGCTTCCTGGCTTCTTCTTCTTATTTGTTTGTTTGTTTATTATTTGCGGTGCTGGAGTTTGAACTCAGGGCCTCAAGCTTGCTTAGCAGGCTCTCTCTCTACCATTTGGGTCACTCCACTAGTCCTGTTTTGTGTTGAGTATTTTCAAGATAGGATCTTGAGAATTATTTCCCTGAGGCTGGTTTGGAACCTCAATCCTCCTGATCTGTGCCTCTTGAGTAGCTAGGATTACAGGCATGAGCCACTGGCACCTGCCCCCCCCCACCCCACTGGCTTTTTGACCTACCCAGAATCCTGCTCAATCAGCATAAGCTAGTATTCTTTACCCAGCTACCAGACCAGCAAAGGCATAGCCACCCCCACCCTGCAACCATCACCAAAAATAGAAGGAAGGCAGAGCACAACATTCCCTGGCACTTGGCCTTTCTGAGACAAGTCTCCTTTGTTCTTCAGAAGGACCTGCACACTCGGCTTTCTCAGGCAATTGGTGTGACCTTAGCCCCTGCACACTAAGGGCCTGGTGGGGCTGTCTGTCTAGTCACAAGGATCCTCAGCTCCAGCTTCCACCCTGACAGTGTGTATACAGGGACGGGCCTGCTGCTCAGCTTCCTCCTGGCGGGCAGTGGGCACAGCAGCACGGGGCGGGGCGGGGGGTGGGGGGGCTGCCAGCTTAGAAGTCCTCCTCAGACAGGTGTCAGCAGCTCCAGAATGTGGCAGCTCGCAAGCTTCCTGCTGTTCGTGGCCACCTGGGGAATTTCTGGGGTGCCAGCCCCTCCTGGTAAGGCCATCCCCAACCTACCTCGGGATCCTCCAAATCCTTCCTAAGGCATCACTGGCACCTGCCCAAATCATCACACCTTCCTCTGAGCCTTGGTGACATGAGGGCCAGGTGGGAGTGGCATGAATTGGCTGACTAGGTCTAGGTAAGCCAGCTGCTGCAAGGTCAGATGCAGGTGGTGACAAGGATTTGGGGTGTGTCATAGAGTCAGTCCTCTGGGCCTTCCTGCTCTACTACTTACTCCCTCAGTGGTGAAGATCCCAGACCCAGGCCTGGGGTCACACTGCCCCATGCTTCTTCTCCTGTAATGATACCTGCTGTCCTGCCCCAGTCCCTTCCTCTGCCCTCATGACAACAGGAGGTAGCTATGGTCCTCTGGAAGGAGCACAGGACAAATGGTCTTCTCCCAGAACCACACCTGGCTCCTCTTGAACCTTTCCTTGAACTGCTTATCTGCCTGCCTCGCCCTTTCTCTCACCCTATACCCAGCTGCCGCCATTGATCTACACTTCCTCTGCTACCTCAGCTCAAAGGCATCTTCCCAGCAGACACTTGGCGACACATGGGGTGATAGATCTCTGTCCTCCAGGTGTCCCTGCCTGGTAGAGGTAGTACCAAATGACCAGTCAAGAGGGGGTTACTTTAAGTATACTGGGAGAAATGAGACCGATTTAATTTTGCAGTCGTAACAGCAACAGCAGCATCTGGCATTTGGCATTTGGCATTGAGTGCTTACTTCTGTGGCTTTTGTTTTATTTTGTTTTGGCGGTAATGAACTCAGGGCTTCAGGATTAATAGGTAGGTGATCTACCACTTGAACCACACCCCAGCCCACTTCTGTGTTTTACATGATTATCTTGTCCCCTTTTTCAAATGAATAAACTGAGGTTTAGAGAGGTGAAGATGGAGGTCAGGTTGGGGTTCAAAGGGAGGTCTGTTTCAGAGTATATGCTTGGAAGGGTCAAGCCTCCTGTTCACCAATGGTCATCTGCCTTGGAGGAGACAGAGTTTCAGGGCACGACATCCTCACCAGGAATTGGAATAGGCCCTGAGGGGCTGGAGACAAGGCCTTTCCAGGTTCTCCCCAGCTTGGCTCTTTAGGCCCTCATGGCCCCTCTGAGGCCCCTGTACCAGAGTGAACGCACTCCCCCTCCCCATCCAGACTCAGTGTTCTCCAGCAGTGAGCTCGCCCATCAGATGCTGCAGGTCCGCCACAAACGCGCCAACAGCTTCCTGGAGGAGATCTGGCCCGGCAACCTGGAGCGGGAGTGCGTAGAGGAGGTCTGTGACTTCGAGGAGGCCAAGGAGATTTTTCAAGATGTGGAGGACACAGTAAGGCCACCAGGCTGGGGCCAAAGCATGAGACTCAGGGGCGGGCTGGGGCCTGGAGGAGCAGGTAGACACACCCTCTTTGGAGTCTGTGCTGTGGGCACCAGTCCATCCTCCTCTCAGCTTGCTGGGATGGCAGTATGGTCCTGCCCTCTGGTCTTGGCCAGGGCACATGTGACTGCAAGAAATAGAACTCTACAGTGAGCTTCAGAAGTTTGGGAGCTCCAGGCTCCCTGCTCTCCCCTCCTCTCCCCCTACCTCCCCCCAAATTCATTCCACCTTCCAGTGACCACTGGCCTCCACTGCCTACCCTCTGTCTCTCTCTCTCTCTCCCTGTGACCAAAAGGCCACATTCCTTACTTCTACCCATGCACCTCAGGTGCATGTGTGACCAGGACTCCCTGGTGTCTGTCCATATGCGCTCACTCCCATGCCTCTTTTCAGATCCTCAAGAGAGCTGAGGCAGGATCTGGGTCCTCCCGGTTGGAGGGTCAGAGCCAACACAGCAGCAGCAGCAGCTGACACCTAGTTAGCAGTCTAGCCACCCCAGTCTTTCACAGCCAGCGGCCCAGGTCTTCCAACTCTGAGACCACTGAATGCATGAGGGGTTCCTAAAAGCCTAAGGGAATGATGGGGCTTGAGGAAGGCAGAGCATCTTGGCAGGGGTTTGGGGTCCTCTCCATACAGAAGCTGCTATGGAATAGACGGAGAGTGGAGACGAGCCGCATGGAAACCAGTGCGGTTCCTGGAATGTGTGGGTGTGCGGGAGGGGAGCAAAGAGCGCTAGCTACCAGCAGCTGTCTGCCTGGAAGCCCGGCTCTCATCTGCCTGCTTGCAGGCCCCTGGGTCACATCCAGGAGGAGTGAGGCGACCGGTGGCCTCCCCTTGGTACACGGGCTGGCCCCTCATGCTGCCCTCCTCTCTCTGCAGCTGGCTTTCTGGACCAAGTACTTAGGTGAGTGCGTTCCCGACCCCTGGCTGGGCTGCCCAAGCCCGCTCCCCTCTGGTCACTGGGGTCCGGGGAGGGTGCTGGCAGTACCCACGACCTCCACCCTCCTACCCCGCCTCTTGTCGCAGATGGTGACCAGTGCGCAGCCCCGCCCTCGGGTCACCTGTGTGACAGCTCGTGCTGCGGGCACGGCACGTGCATGGACGGCATCGGAGGCTTCAGCTGCAACTGCGTCCAGGGCTGGGAGGGCAGATTCTGCCAGCAAGGTGAGGGGGCGGCGGGAAGGCGGGACGGCATGCGCGCTGCGGGTCCCCGCACCCAGCACCCAGCACCCGGCGCAAGCGCCGCTCTCCGCGCCCTCCCGTCCTGCAGAGATGCGCTTCGCCCACTGCCTGGTGGACAACGGTGGCTGCGGGCACTATTGCCTGGAGGAGGACGGCGGCCGCCGCTGCAGCTGCGCTGCGGGCTACGAACTGGACGACGACCTCCTGCACTGCAGGCCCACGGGTGAGCCGCCGGCCCCGCCCGGTCAGGCCCCGACCCAGAGCGGGGTGGGGCGCGGGGAGGATCCCGCACAGACCACAGGCAGGCTTCCGGGGAGCGGGAGCGAGCGGTGAACAGGGTTGAGTCACGGGGTAACCGCGGATGTGGCGCCCCAACCCCCGTACGGCTGCTGCGGGTGCTGTCTGCCGGGACTCTCTCTTGCTTGTCTCCCTGTCACCAGTTGTCCCTGCTCACCTTGGGGACACCTCCTGGAGCACAGTTCATCTCCGCAGTTTGAGTGGATCCGGGCCTCCAGCGTCTTCCTCTGTTCACCCTGGATGCTTTTAGTTCATTAGGACACGCTGCCGGCCGTGTTTCTATTAGCCTTTGTTTCTGCAAGAACAGAGCCGGATTCTGCCTTTCTTTAGATTGTCCTTATTACAAAGGATTTTATTTTTATCAAGTTTATTTGTATACAAAGTTTACAGAGTCAGATCTTTACAACTCTTGTAATGTTTTCTTGGGGCGGGTCTTTTTTCATTCCTTGTGCAGAGCCCTTGATGGGCCCTTTTAATGAGGAAATGCAGATCTTCTGCCTCTAGGGACATTGAAAATGACTTCTTTGATAGTCACTCCTCTGCTTTCTTTGCTGTCTCTTTCTGGACCGCTCATGGTTCATACCTCTTTCTTCTAGTTTCATCGTCTCTTCTCTTTCCCAACTTTTTGACTTCATGTTCTTCTTTCAGGAAACTTTTTACCTCTTTATATCCCAGTCCTTCTACTGAAAAAAACATATTTTTCACTTTGTATTTTGAAATGATTAGAAATTCCCAGGAAGTTGCAAAGGAGTGCCTGGTGGACCTGTCTGCCCGCACCTTTCCTGCAAGGCTGTCAGAATGCCAGGGGCACTGGCAGACCCGTGCTGTGCAGGTCCTTAGGGCTTGCCGTTTGGATGGGCTGTGGAGAGGACTCTGTAAGGCTGGGCTGGAGTTTGCTGGTGCCCAGCTTCCAGCCCCCTAGAGCATGGTGGCCAGAAGAGCTGGGCTCTGTGCAGCCCCAGACTCAGAGAGACTCCCCATGGTCAGCAGAGCATACCAGTCTTTCCTGTAGAGCTGCCTGTGATCTCCAGGTCATAGTCTCTGTTCACCTCTGCAGGGGACAGAGAGGGAGCCAAGCCACAGAGGAGGGCTTTAGCAGCCTCCTCAGTCTCTCTCTCTCTCTCTCTCTCTCTCTCTCTCTCTCTTTCCTTTTCTTCCCTTTTTATTTTCCTTCCTTCCTTCCCTCCCATCCTCCCTCCCTCCCTTCCCTTCCTTCTTTTCTTCCCTCCTTCCTTCCTTCTTCTCATTTTGAGATGGAGTCCCCGTATGTAGCCCAGGCTGGCCTGGAACTCACAACATAGCCATCCTGGCTTTGAACTTGAAATCCACTGCCTCCCACTTGATGGAATTACAGGTGTGTACCACCATGCCCAGCTCTAGCAGCCTCTCTTGCCAGTTGTCATCACGCCACCCATGTGCTGTGATGCGGCTGTGGTGTGACACCACTTCTGAGTACCCTGTTGTTGGCCAAGGGTTTTGCATTCTCAGCCTGCCAGTTCTGCCTGCTTTCCAGCATCTGGACTTTCATTGCCTTTGTCTCCTTGCACTCTGTCAGTGTGCCCTTCCCACTGCCCTGCAAGTCTAGATCTCCTAGCTGGACATTCATGGCCCATCAGGAGCAGATCCTGCAAGGCAGCCTGCCCCTGACTCTCCATGGTGTGCTCTCTTCTCTGGGAAGACAGGCCTCATGATCGTGCTCAGGGCTACTTTGGGCTTTCCAAGAGTGCCCACTTCCTTCTCCCTGTAATTTCTCACCTCTGATATAAGCTTGGCAGCGTTCCAGCTGGGGGCATTCCTTATAGATCTTGGGGCTTATCCCCCAACAGCCCTGGGGTATACTGAACCTCTGAGAAGTTTAACAACCTGTGCAAGGATACAGGTAGCTTGGCCTGTGTCTTGCCATTAGGTGACATTGTTTGTTGACTCACTGACTGACCAGAGGGGATTTGCCCACTCATATTGTCACTTATCCCTTGAACCCTCCAATGTCAAACTAGTCTTCAGGCATGAGGAGTACAAGATGAGGGCAGTCTGGGAGTAGTGCCTGGCAGGCTCCTTATCACCCTCCTTTTCCTTCAGTGAACTTTCCGTGTGGGAGGCTAGGGAGACGAATGGAAAAGAAACGCATTATTTCTAAGCGGGATATTGACCAAGTAGACCAGCTGGATCCCAGGATCATCAACGGGACACTGACCAGACAGGGAGACAGCCCCTGGCAGGTGAGAGGAGAGGCAGTGGCTGCCTCTCATTGTCGGGGTCAGGGGTCACGGAGCTCCTCCTGGCACTTCTGTCAGGATGCAGAAGTGAGGAGGGGAAGCACTGCTGTTGCTTGGGGTTACAGGTGGTGGTGGGGGACCAATAAGTAGGAAAGGGCTCAGGGGAAGACAGGTAACCTGATGGGAGGAGAGCAGCTAGAGCAGAGAGAGCAAGCTGAGGGACTATGGAGGGGAATCTTCTGGAAGGAGAGTTGCAGTTTTTAAAACAAGCTGGAAAGATCTGAGGGCAGGAGCTCAGGCAGAGGCCCTGATAAGAGAGTGGTGGCCTGCATGGGACAGGGCTAGTCCAGAAGGCTTGCCCCAGCACCTCTCCAGGAGCTAATATTTTACTTGTGTCCCCTCTCTGTCAGGCACAGGGGTAGGGTTGGGGATGAATAAACACCAACAAGTGGTGCTGGCTGTGGGGAGTGTCAAGACACTAACCTCTGGGCAGCTCAGGGGGACCAGAGCCAGGATGGCCACCAGGATAGGTAATGAGGGAGGGCCAAGGGGGACACCCAAGGCAACCTGGGTACCACAAGACTTACCAGAGGTATGAAGCCTGGATGAAGTCCCCAGAATGAGGGGAGCTTTCTGTGATGTTGGTGGGGCTGAGGATGCCTGCAGGAACAGCAGAGGCCAAGCTAGGGCAGTGCCCCAGGACAGGCCACCACTGTACAATGTAATAAACAGAAAATGCCAGAAAGGGCTTTAAGTCTATGTATGCCCACATAACCAGGGTCCCAAGGAAGCACTTGAGCAGTATTGGGAGTCATGTAAAACTAGGGGTCCTGCACTGGCAGTTGCCAGAGGCAGCCCCGTGACTTCACCATTCATCCTACTTCAGGTGATTCTGCTGGACTCAAAGAAGAAGCTGGCCTGTGGGGGGGTGCTCATCCACACCTCCTGGGTGCTGACCGCCGCCCACTGCATGGAGGACTCCAGGAAGCTCATTGTCAGGCTTGGTGCGGGCTAGAACCAGGCAGGAGGGACTGCCAGAGGCCTAGGGTGGGGCGGGAGAGCCAAGCAGACCATACAGGTTTGGGGGGCACTGATCTCAGGGCACTTGAGCTCCACAGGAAGTGTTTTGGGGGACAAGGCCTATAAGCCTCTATCCACTCACCCTTTGACTCCAGGAGGCCACGGGATTCTCTTGTGCCCACTTCAAGTGTGGGCACACGTGTGCGTGAGTGAAGGGTCATACACGTCCTCCCCATCTCACTCTTATGTGCGGCAGACTGCATGTGGGCCTCAACTCCCTGTGGTGCAGAGACCCACAAGACTTGATCTAAGAGCCAGGCTTACTATAGACTGACAGGGCTGCAGCTGCTCACAGGGGCCCTGCCACCTGCCTCCCCAGGAGTCTTGGAATCCCCAAGCCCCACTGTATGACAATTTCAGGAGCGTCCAGTCCCTTACTAGACTCTATGTAAAAAAGAACAAATTTATGCTCCTTACAATTGTCTTCAACACAACCCATGGCCAGTGGCCTCCAGTGGGGTTTGGTGTGGGACTTCCAGGCCCTGCATCCCAGAAACCATCAGCTCCCCTGGTGTTCTACCTTCTCAGTGCTAAGTCCTGTCAGTGGCCTCAGTTTTCTCTGCTGCCCATTGCTTCCCTAGTCTCAGTGCTCTGTATGTGAATCCCAAATCCAGACTAGAATTCTGACTCTTTGGGATTGACACCTATGGGCCACTCCTTCTCCCAAGAAAAATCACCCTTGGTAAAGGTCCAGTGCACAGACAGGGGACACCACGACAGTGCCTGGGACACATGGTGAACATTGCCTGCTTTGGTTGCCCCTCAGGAGCGCCACAGTCCTGTGGGCTACGCCCACCACTCTGACAGCACCCTCTGCCCTGCAGGTGAGTATGACCTGCGGCGCAGGGACAAGTGGGAGGTGGACTTGGACATCAAGGAGATCCTCGTCCACCCCAATTACAGCCGAAGCACCAGCGACAATGACATAGCACTGCTCCACCTGGCCCAGCCTGCCACCCTCTCCAGGACCATCGTGCCCATCTGCCTCCCAGACAGTGGCCTTGCAGAACGTGAGCTTACTCAGGTTGGCCAGGAGACAGTGGTGACAGGCTGGGGCTATCACAGCAGCCGAGAGAAGGACAGCAAGAGAAACCGCACGTTCATCCTCACCTTCATCAAGATTCCCGTGGCACCACGCAATGAGTGTATCCAGGCCATGAGAAACACGGTCACCGAGAACATGCTGTGTGCGGGCATCCTTGGGGACCAGCGTGATGCCTGTGATGGTGACAGTGGGGGGCCCATGGTCGCCTTGTACCGAGACACCTGGTTCCTTGTGGGCCTGGTGAGCTGGGGTGAGGGCTGTGGGCTTCTTACCAACTATGGCATCTACACCAAAGTCAGCCACTACCTCGACTGGATCCACAGCCACATCAAGGACAAGGACAAGGATGCCTCCCCCAATAGCCAGGTGCTGTAGCACCCCTCCCCCCTCATCTCTGGACCCCCAGGCCACTCTTGCAGTGGGGCTGTGTTACTGAATGGCAATATAAAAGGGCATACAACAAGCATGGCAGCCTGCAGTCCTGTCTTTCCTTCCATCCCTTGTCCAGGCTGTTGTAGATGGAATTGCTATTTATTGACTTTCTACTATATGCCACATGCTTTTTGACAGGATCTTAGGTAACTCCCAAAGCAATTCTGTGGGTTGGGGAGGAGCAGATTCAAGTTCTGTGGGGTCTGAAGCTGATACAACTTGGAGGGGTGTGTTCTCTTTATACAGCAGAGTAAACAAGTGACTATGAAGCCACTGGGGTCTTTCTCACAATCTTGGAGAAAGCCTGTGGTAAGCCATGAGTCCTAAAGCTACAGCTAAAGCTGTGGCCTGACTGACTTTATAGTGAGGCAGCTGAAGCTCCAGAAGGCTTACGGGGTGGAGCCAGGATTTAAATTAAGGTCCAACTCCCAAACCAAGTGCTTTTATCGCTTCTTCATTGTAGCTGTTTGACACCTGCTGGGTGCCACCATTATCAACCCTGTGAAGGAAGAAGTCAGATACCCAGAAGGTGTACAGAATATACTCAGTTTCGATGAGGAAGCTGTTTAAGAGCAATGTTATAAGCTGGACCTGTAGTCCCAGCTACTCAGAAGGCCAAAACAGGAGGCTCACTTGAGTCCAAGAGTTTGGGGCCAGCATGGGCAACACAGAGAAACCCTGGAAGGAACGAAAGGAGGAATGGAGGGAGTGAGGATGACACACATCATGAATAGCAGCAGTTGGCAAGAGTGTCTGTCTTGCCCCACAACAACTTGCTATCTTGATTGCTCAGGGGTCCCAAGAGAACTACATTCATCCTTTCCAAAGGCAGTAGCCCCAATAACCTAAGGACCTCCCACTAGGCTCTTAACCTCTTAAAGGTTCCACACCATCTCCCAACATAGCCAACTTTCCAGCACATGAACCCTCAGGGTTAGCACTCAACCTATGTCCAAACCATAGCAGCTGATAAACGTTATTTCTGGGGGTGTCTATGAGGGTATTTCTGGTGGAGTTAGTGGGCTGTTGAGAAGATCTGCCCTCAGTGTGAGTGGGTACCGTCCAGTCAGCTGGGGGATCCGGTATAATGAAAAGGTGAGTTCTCTCTCTCCTAAAGCTGGGACACCCATCATCTCCTTCCCATGGACATCAGAATTCCAGGCTCCTCAGCACTTGGACTCCAGAACTTGCAGCGACAGCCTCAGGGTCGTTAGGTTTTCACCCTTAGACAGAGTAGCACCATTGGCTTCCCTGGTTCCAGTGCCTTTGGACTTAGACTGAACCACACCACCAAATTCTGTGGTTCTCTAGCTTGCAGACAGACTGTCATGGAACTTCTGAGTCTCCCTAGTCATACAAACCTTAGTTTTCTTAATAAAACCCTTATCTATCTGTCTATCTATCTATCCATCCATCCATCCATCCATCCATCCATCCATCTATCTACCTACCTACCTATCCATCTTATCTATTTACTCACACATCCCTCTGTGTAACCATCCATCCATTCTATGGGTTCTGTCTCTCTGGACAACCCTAGCTAAATGCAGGGCATAGTACAGCCCCGAGAGCACTGTTTTCAATGGTGCTGCACATTTGCATCTCCTCGAGAACTTTCAAAACACTCATGTCCAGTCACACCTTCAGAGATTCTGATGTAACTGATTTGGGGTGTGGGAGAAGAGACATAGACATTGGTATTTTTTACAACTCTCCATTGCATTTTAATATGTGACTGTGTTTGAAAGCTACGAGACCCATGGTTTCTTGGGTTGGCTCTGGTTTGAAGACTTCCAAGGTCAACCAGAGGGATAATCAGTAATCTCAGAAAGTACTTAACCCAGTCAAGAGTAAAGGAGGGTTCAACTTGTGATTCTTCCCAGCCAGTCAGGCCATAACTACTGCTAACAAACCAGACGGGACACCAGGACCATGGAGTTAGTTACCTACGTGCAGCTACAAGAATAGGGGCCAGCCTGAGACCAAGCCTGCAGCATCCATCTCCTCACTCACCTGGGAAATGATGGGTGGGTCTGCTTGGAAATGCAAGGGAGCTAGGCCCAGGGCTGGAGCTCCCTGCTGGAGTTGAGGGGAGTCTCCAACACCCATAACAGGAGATGACAGGAGTCTTCATCTCTGTTAAAGAGTGTTTGTGGGCTTCCTGCCAAAACAGATTCTGCATATGCTGGAGAATTTCTGCGTGAGGGAAATGGACCAGCTGCTCAAGAACACCAGTGAAAACCATAAAACCAAATACACAAGTAAATCTGAGTGCAGTGGCTCACGCCTGTAATTCTATCTACTTGGGAAGCTGAGATTGGGAGGATCATTGTTCCAGGCCAGCCCTGGCAGGGAGTTCATGAGCTCCCATCTCAACCAATAACTACACAGTGGCACATACCTGTCATCCCATGCCACATGAGAGGATGAGATCAGGGAGGATCATGGTTCCAAACCTACCCATGGCTCCAGGCCAGCTAGGGCAAGATAGTTTGTGAGAACCCATCTCAATGACTAAAAAGCTGGGTGCAATGGTGCATGCCTGTCATCCCTACGATGGTGAGGATGCAAAATAGGAGGATGATAGTCCAGCCCAGCCTTGGCATAAAAGCCAGATCCTGAGAACTGCAGGAGACAATCTTTCTAGACAAAGCTGTGGAGAAGGAGGAAGCACTGGGAGGGAGGGTCGGCCTGGTATGCACTCTGCACCGTGGGACAGTGCTGGATGTGGATGGGCTGCTTGCTTATGCAAGAAGACTATTGACCAGAAGAAAAGATGTTTGCTTTTCACAAGCCAAAGATGTACTGAAGTATAGAAAGCTATTGTATTTGCAGAGCTAAGTCCTCAAGTTCTCAATTTCCTGACAACAAATGTTTTTGAAAAGGACTTCCAAAGCTGTTTTGGGTTGTATGAGACGCATACATGATACAGCTGCAATGCCTGTGTTGTGCTTGTGAAAAGAAGTTGCCAGCAGGATCAAAAAATAAAACAAAAAAACCTGGAATCCGATGCCCACAGAGCCATCAGGTGCTTCCCCAGCTCAATCAGTTCAGTCTCCTTGCTGCAGTCACCAGTCACCAGTCAGGTGATAGCTCAGACACAGGTGGCTTTTTTTGTTTTTTTTTCCTTTTTAAAGATTACACACGGGAAAAGGCAGAAACTATGGTGTGAGATCATCTACCAAGGCCACTTCGGGGAAGTCCTCACTGACACCCATGCATTCAAACCGTGCTAAGCAATAAGAAGGCAGCTGCGGAGAAGCTGGAGGAGTAGGAGCCAGAGCCTCTGCCCACTCCACTCAGGAGTTTTGACTGAGGTTTATGTAAAAGGGGAGCCAACAGTGACTTACATTGTGAAAAGACCACAAAGCAATAAACCGACCCTCTTTTAACTTGGATGCCTGCTATTCTGCCAAAGACATTTTTCTTTTTCTTTTTTAAAGGTAGAGAAAGGAGATCTACTACATGGCTTACGACCTGCCACAGGAACAGGCAGAGTAAGCACTCACTCAGCTCATCTTCAAACATCTTTAGGGTACAGACATGAGTTGTAAGTTTAAATTCAAAGAACTGGGGGCAGGGGACAAAAGGAAAGCGTAATTAAACAGTTCAGTCACCGTGTGTTCTGGCTGATCATTATCTCATTCTTTCTTCTGGGAGAGGTTGAGGAAGATGTTCTGGCAGGTGGTCCATCCTGAGGAAGGTCTACTGTTGGGGGTAGTTTCTGTCCCTTGTCATAAACATATCATCATCTGTCTTTCCTGGAATCCAAGGGGATTGCAAAGTGACTGCAGTGAGAATGGCTTAGAGCAAAGACAGATACAAAATGGAGGAGAAATGCCATGCTTTTCTCCCAAATTAGTTAATTCGTGGGCCCAAGGAGTCAGTGCTTTTCAGCAAAAGCAGTTTGACCACCTCTTGCAAAACTTAATAATTTTTCCCAACTTCTCTGATTCTCAGTTGCTTTTATAAGCGTTCATTCCTTAACATAATATCCCCAAAAATGTTGAGAGAAAATTTCCATTCTCATCTCCTGTAATTCTCTGACCTGGACTCTGCTAGCCATACAACAAACACTCCTAGATTTGCAAGCACTTCATGTGCACTCACATTTTATGATCTTTCATACCTTTTTTTGCTGTGCTTGTATTGCTGCCCACTTCTTTCTCTGCTTAGTTAATTTTTGCTCATTTTTCCAACATTGAAATATAATTTCTTTAGTGAAATGTTGTCTGCCACCCTCAGAATTAATCAGTACCTCTTTGTGGTCACAGGTACTTTGTAAATCATAATGTTAAAGATTTCATCAAACTGTAGTTTAGTCAGTCTGTGCTTTTTTTTTCTATTAATAGGTGTAAATTGCAGTAGTTAACAACAGTTCCTTGAACACAGTATGAAATTAATGTTTGTTGAGTGAATGAAAGGATGGATAGATGATGTTGAAGTATAAAACTAGGCCAGACATCCTTGAACCAGTTTGAGTAAATCAAATGTCCTATTAGGTTCCACTAGGTTCAGAGAAGTGTCAGAAATGAAAGGAAGCCCAGAATGGATGGGCAGGGAGACACCTCGTAAGCCAGCACAGGATTTATTGTGGAGAAGTGGTCCTGTGGAGGGGGTCCCCAGCAAGAGAGTTGGAACCCCCAAAGATATTTCTCTAGAATAGTTTTGAAGGGGTTATTTTTCCTCAGAACCACAAACTCTGAAGCCAGTGTCTAGCTTACTACAAGAAAAAAGAAGTGTACATAATATTGAAGATGCTGAGTTTTTCATAGGACAGCTGAATACTGCTGCAAAGTGTTCCTTAAGTCTTTTTTTTTTTTTTTAATTCCCTTCTCATGAATGAAATTAGGAGAATTTCAGGGGACAGAGATGGGATTTGTTCTATGATAAATCATATGTAGTTTTTGTCTTTCTGTATTGAGAAACAGTGATTGGGGAAG